GTGCTAGTTAGATAGCTAGCTTAGCTAATGTCAATGCAAGCTGTACTTAAGCTCTTTATCAAGTGGCCACTTACTGATGTGTTCAATAGTGATCACTCGAGTCTACAAGTGTTTTGGCCAAAATGTGCATTGAAATGATACACTCTCAACGTCCCAAATGCCAATATCAATATTCCCAAAATCTAAATCCATATGTGAGCATTGTCTCCCGCGACCTGTCTTGTAGCATGACTCGCTATGAAACACTTGCCCTCAGGCAGACACAGACACAATCTCCGACAGACAGTGAGAAAGTTGTAAAAACAAACCACAACCTGCTTGCTAAGTTATTTTATAGTTGACAAGAGAAAGCAGATCAATCATTTATAGAATAGAAAAACGTACAGTGCCTTGCAAAAGTATTCATCCCCCTTGGCGTTTTTCCTATTTTGTTGAATTACAACCTGTAATTTAAATGGATTTTTATTTGGATTTCATGTAATGGACATACACAAAAAAGTCTAAATTGGTGAAGTGAAATTAAAAAAATAAACTTGTTTAAAAATAACGGAAAAGTGGTGTGTGCATATGTATTCACCCCCTTTGCTATGAAGCCCATAAATAAGATCTGGTGCAACCAATTACCTTCAGAAGTCACATAATTAGTTAAATAAAGTCCACATGTGTGCAATCTAAGTGTCACATGATCTGTCACATGATCTCAGTATATATACACCTGTTCTGAAAGGCCCCAGAGTCTGCAACACCACTAAGCAAGGGGCACCACCAAGCAAGCGGCACCATGAAGACCAAGGAGCTCTCCAAACAGCGACAACGTTGTGGAGAAGTATAGATCAGGGTTGGGTTATAAAAAAAATCTGAAACTTTGAACATCCCACGGAGCACCATTAAATCCATTATAAAAAAAATTGAAAGAATATGGCACCACAACAAACCTGCCAAGAGAGGGCCGCCCACCAAAACTCACGGACAAGGCAAGGAGGGCATTAATCAGAGAGGCAACAAAGAGACCAAAGATAACCCTGAAGGAGCTGCAAAGCTCCACAGCGTAGATTGGAGTATCTGTCCATAGGACCACTTTAAGCCATACACTCCACAGAGCTGGGCTTTACAGAAGAGTGGCCAGAAAAAAGCCATTGCTCAGAATTGAAGGAATGATGGATGGTGCTAAATACAGGGAAATTCTTGAGGGAAACCTGTTTCAGTCTTCCAGAGATTTGAGACTGGGACGGAGGTTCACCTTCCAGCAGGACAATGACCCTAAGCATACTGCTAAAGCAACACTTGAGTGGTTTAAGGGGAAACATTTAAATGTCTGTCAAAGCCTAGACCTCAATCCAATTGAGAATCTGTGGTATGACTTAAAGATTGCTGTACACCAGCGGAACCCATCCAACTTGAAGGAGCTAGAGCAGTTTTGCCTTGAAGAATGGGCAAAAATCCCAGTGGCTAGATGTGGCAAGCTTATAGAGACATACCCCAAGAGACTTGCAGCTGTAATTACTGCAAAAGGTGTCTCGACAAAGTATTGACTTTGGGGTGGTGAATATTTATGCACTGTCAAATGTATTTCTTGTTTTTTTCACCCCCCCCCCCCCAAAAAAAAAATAACATCTTCAAAGTGGTAGGCATGTTGTGTAAATCAGATGATACAAACCCCCAAAAAATCCATTTTAATTCCAGGTTGTAAGGCACCAGAATAGGAAAAATGCCAAGGGGGATTAATACTTTCGCAAGCCACTGTATAACTAATATATGTGGTTTGTTCTGTAAACAGCCCATGTAGTAACTGATAGGCTACTGTACCTCTCTGTATAGCTAAAGATACTCTCTGATTTAGCTGTTGATACTTGGGATAAATGCAGTATTAACCAGTGTTAGAAGCCGTTTACGAGGATAAGGTGCATCTGTTCAAATTCATCTGAATAGGTTTGCTATTGTCAGCTTTCTCAGGTATTGTTTCAAGTAATGTCAATAGTATTCCCCCAACTACTTACACATTATGTCTGCAATGTCAATAGTATCTAACTACTTGCCAAGATGAATTGACTGTTTGTCACGCCCTGACCTATGGAACTCTAGTTAGTTTGGTCAGGGTGTGTATATCATGTGTGTGTTTTCTATGGTGACATTCTAAGAGGCAGCTGTCGCTCGTTGTCTCTGATTGGGGATCATACTTAGGCAGCCAGTTTTCCTGCCTGTGTTGTGGGATCTTGTTTGTGTTCGGTGAGTTTGGGCTTGTTAGTGTATAGCCTTCTGACGTCACGTTTCGTTGCCTTTTGTTGTTTTGTATGTTTATTCAGTTCAATAAACATGTATGCATTTCACGCTGCGCCTTGGTCTGACTCGTTCTTCAACGACCGTGACAGAAGATCCCACCAAAAATTGACCAAGCAGCGTGCCCAGGAGCAGACACCCTGGACACAGGTGGGGAAGTAATTTTGGACTTGGGAGGAGATATTGGCTGGTGGAGGACCCTGGGCGAAGGAGGAAGCCCAGGCCGGAGAGGAGCAACGGCAACACAGAAGGCGCCGGCCGAGGAGGAAGCCCGAGAGACAGCCCCAATAACTTTTTTTGGGGGGGCTAAAAGGGTGGTCGGGTATCAACAGAGAAGAGCCCCGACCACTGCACTCGTGGGGGCTCGGGGAGGAGTCCTCACAGGAGGAGGACTGGGCGCGGAGAGTGAAAGACTGGTACAGTCTGAGATCTCTAACGTCAGTTCCCAGTCCGGTACACCTCGTGCCTGCGTCTCGCACCAAGATAGTGGTGCGTGTTCCAAGTCCGGTACGGCCCGTGCCTGCTCCTCGCACCAAACCAGTGGTGCGTGTCGCCAGCCCGGTACGCCCCGGACCTGCTTCCCGCACCAAGCCAGTGGTGCGTGTTCCCAGTCCGGCCGGCCCGTTCCTGCTCCTCGCACCAAGCCAGTGGTGCATGTTCCCAGTCCAGCCCGGCCCGTTCCTGCTCCTCGCACCAAGCCAGTGGTGCGTGTTCCCAGTCCGGCCCGGCCCGTTCCTGCTCCCCGCACCAAGCCAGTGGTGCGTGTCCGCAGTCCGGCCCGGCCCGTTCCTGCTCCTCGCACCAAGCCAGTGGTGCGTGTTCCCAGTCCGGACCGGCCCTTTCCTGCTCCTGGCACCAAGCCAGTGGTGCGTGTTCCCAGTCCAGCCCGGCCCGTTCCTGCTCCTCGCACCAGACCAATGGTGCGTGTTCCCAGTCCAGTCCGGCCCGTGCCTGCTCCTCGCACCAGACCAGTGGTGCGTGTTTCCAGTCCGGCACGGCCCGTGCTCGTTCCACTGGTGCCCAGTCCGGCACCGGTCAGCTGCTCCACTCCGGAACCAGAGCAGTCCGCTCCACCGTTGCCTAGTCCAGCTCCGGTCAGCAGATCTACTCCGGAGCCATAGCAGTCCGCTCCACCGGTGCCCAGTCCAGCTCCAGTCAGCGGCTCCACTCCGGAGCCAGAGCATTCCGCTCCACCGGGGTCCAGTCCAGCTCCGGTCAGCGACTCCTCTCCGGGTCCAGATGTCAGCCCCTCTCTAGGTTCGGAGACTCCCACACCAGGGTCCAAACAGGGATCGGTGCATCGTGGGAGGACTGAGAGGGGAAGCTCTGCGTTGAGGTCCAGACCGGTCCAGGGGTGCAACGCGGAGTTAGTAAGGGAGGAGACGTCACGGCCGGAGCCGGAGCCACCACCGAGGTTGGAAGCCCACCCGGACCCTCCCCTGTTAAGTCAGGTCTGTGCGGCCGGAGTCCACACCTTTAGGGGGGGGGGGGGGGGGGACTGTCACCCCTGACCTATGGAACTCTAGTTAGTTTGGTCAGTGTGTGTATATCATGTGTGTGTGTTTTCTATGGTGACATTCTATGTTTGCATTTCTATGTTTGGCCGGGTGTGATTCCCAATCAGAGGCAGCTGTCGCTCGTTGTCTCTGATTGGGGATCATACTTAGGCAGCCAGTTTTCCTGCCTGTGTTGTGGGATCTTGTTTGTGTTCGGTGAGTTTGGGCTTGTTAGTGTATAGCCTTCCGACGTCACGTTTCGTTGCCTTTTGTTGTTTTGTATGTTTATTCAGTTCAATAGCTGCGCCTTGGTCTGACCCGTTCTTCAACGACCGTGACACTGTTTGAACTTCTCCTCCATGCTGAATGTTCCTGTGTTCACTGGCTCTGCCAAACTAGCACTATGGCACTACTGCAGAAAACTTTTTTTTGTATGGAAGTCCCGTTTGTAGGCCATGTGAAATAGGTGTCATTATAAAACTTAGTGGCCTATTAAATGTTGTATTTTTTTCTACAGGTTACCAGAAGGTTCAACAAGTTCCCTGACGTCCCCAACTACTTGATTAATATTTGTTTAGCAAAAATGCCTCAAGTCATTTTCTCTGTAAAATGCCTTCATGGAGCTGATCATAGGACCGTTGGATATCAAACAGCAGACATAAACAAGCTTTGACTTCAATTCAGTTGTGACTACTTACGGATTATTTATTTCTTGCCTACATCCCATCAATACACATTTTTGTATTTTTATACTGCATCAAGAGAAACACAAAATCAAAAGATAGCTCTGTCTCTTCCGTTATTGACAACAAAAACAGAGCATATACATATTTATTTATGTATGTGCACAATGTATATACAAATATACAGCAGCTTTGTATATGGTGTACATTCCTCTCATTGTACTCTGTCATTGCAAAACATCTTTGGCACATGACACGGAGTACAAGTAGTGGAATGTTTGCTAAACAGACTGGGTCCCAGAATAGGTGTATGAACATTTCTGGGAAAAAGTATCACCTCGTGCCCCCTGGTTGTTGCTGATAATTTAGCATTAGCTCAGTTGTTCTCTTCTGGTGTTACTAGCAGAGACGTAAAAGCAGGAGAGACATCCCACTTGTGGGCCACTTCCACATTTTTTGGGTTTCAATGGAAGTAGACCAGACCCAGCTGCTATGGCAATGGTGTCTATAGGAGAGTTTCCCCCTTAAGTAGACCGGAACTGACCATGTAGGCCCGTGGAGGGATGGTGTTGACCAGTATGAACTGAACAGAGTTTGTTAAACAGAGTGTATACCAGAGGGTTGATGGCTGAGGAGAGGTATCCACCCACACAAGCACGTTCAGAAGCCCCCCCATCACCCCCGGGTCACAGTTCACAGGGTGGCACACCACCACCAGTATATTGGTGATAAAGAAGGGACTTTACATGACCACGAACAGGAAGAAGACCACACCCAGGACCTTGGAGGCCTTCTGCTCATTGCTGAGTGACTGCATGGTGCGACGCCCGTACCACAGTTCCACCCGGCCCCACCGACCCCTCCTCCTACCCCTCCTGTGTCGGGGCTTAGCGAACAGGAGAGGAAGAGCTTCTCTTTGAGGTCTGGGGGAACAAGCCCAGGATCAGGGTGGCACTCTACTCAGGCCGGGGTACCAGCTGTTCCAGGCAGATGGCAGCATCAGTCTGCAAGGCGCTGATGGTGAAGAAATAGGTGATCACCATAATGGTGACGGGGAGGTGTGTGTGTGCATGTGTGTTCCACTTCTTAATTAATCATCTTTGTCATCAACAGATGTTTAAACATGGAACGATTAGTCAGTGCATTGAAAACTAACATGCGCCATCTCTTCCGGTGCCTATGGTGGAAGAGCCCATAGAGCCCAGAGTCTTCACTTTCCCCCTGCATCTCTGAAGCGGGACATAAAGCCAGCGATGGCTTCCTTGTCAGGTTTCTCATACTGGGCACACAGGGGTTCTGGGATGGAGAGCTCACACACCTTCTCCACATACGGTGCTGGATCAGGGGTGACCTCATTGAAGAGGAGATCCAGCAGCCTGTCTACAGTTGAAGTCGGAAGTTTACATACACCTTAGCCAAATACATTTAAACTCAGTTTTTCACAATTCCTGACATTTAATCCTAGTAAAAATTCCCTGTTTTAGGTCAGTTAGGATTACCACTTTATTTTAAGAATGTGAAATGTCAGAATAATAGTAGAGAGAATGATTTATTTCAGCTTTTATTTCTTTCATCACATTCCCAGTGGGTCAGAAGTTTACATACACTCAATTAGTATTTGGTAGCATTGCCTTTAAATTGTTTAACTTGGGTAAAACGTTTTGGGTAGCCTCCCACAAGCTTTCCACAATAAGTTGGGTGAATTTTGGCCCATTCCTCCTGAAACAGATGGTGTAACTGAGTCAGGTTTGTAGACCTCCTTTCGCACATGCTTTTTCAGTTCTGCCCACAAATCTTCTATAGGTTTGAGGTCAGGGCTTTGTGATGGCCACTCCAATACCTTGACTTTGTTGTCCTTAAGCCATTTTGCCACAACTTTGGAAGTATGCTTGGGGTCATTGTCCATTTGGAAGACCAATTTGTGACCAAGCTTTAACTTCCTGACTGATGTCTTGAGATGTTGCTTCAATATATCCACATAATTTTCCTTAATCATGAAGCCATTTGTTTTGTGAAGTGCACCAGTCCCTCCTGCAGCAAAGCACTCCCACAGGATGATGCTGCCACCCCCGTGCTTCACGGTTGGGATGGTGTTCTTCGGCTTGCAAGCAACCCCCTTTTTCCTCCAAACATAACAATGGTCATTATGGCCAAACAGTTATATTTTTGTTTCATCAGACCAGAGGATTTCTCCAAAAAGTACGATCTTTGTCCCCATGTGCAGTTGCAAACCGTAGTCTGGCTTTTTTATGGCGGTTTTGGAACAGTGGCTTCTTCCTTGCTGAGCGGCCTTTCAGGCTATGTCGATAAAGGACTCATTTTACTGTGGATTTAGATACTTATGTACCTGTTTGCTCCAGCATCTTCACAAGATCCTTTGGTGTTGTTCTGGGATTGATTTGCACTTTTCGCACCAATGTACGTTCATCTCTAGGAGACAGAACACGTCTCCTTCCTGAGTGGTATGATGGCTGCGTGGTCCCATGGTGTTTATACTTGCGTACTATTGTTTGTACCGATGAAAGTGGTACCTTCAGGCGTTTGGAAATTGCTCCCAAGGATGAACCAGACTTGTTGAGGTCTACAATATTTTTTTCTGAGGTCTTGGCTGATTTCTTTTGATTTTTCCATGATGTCAAGCAAAGAGGCACTGAGTTTGAAGGTAGGCATTGAAATACATCCACAGGTACACCTCCAATTGACTCAAATGATGTCAATTAGCCTATTAGAAGCTTCTAAAGCCATGACATCATTTTCAGGAATTCCCCAAGCTGTTTAAAGGCACAGTCAACTTAGTGTATGTAAACTTCTGACCCACTGGAATTGTGATACAGTGAATTATAAGTGAAATAATCTGTCTGTAAACAATTGTTGGGAAAATGACTTGTGTCATGCACAAAGTAGATGTCCTAACCAACTTGCCAAAACATAGTTTGTTAACAAGTTTATTTGTGGAGGGGTTGAAAAACAAGTTTTAATGACTCCAACCTAAGTGTATTTAAACTTCCGACTTCAACTGTATGTTGCCTGTAATGTTTGTGAAAAGAAAAATGGTAGATTAAGGGTACTGAATTTAATTTCCTTTCCTTTACTGTTTTGAGTTATGATGGGATTTGTTCTTGAGGGGATGGTCGGGGGGCCGGAACATAATTACAAATAATTTGTAGACTGCAAATTGACCGCAAGACGCCCAAACAGATATAATGTTTGACTAAAATGTAATCATTTCTCAAACCTTGCTTACATCTGTATACGATCAGTGTCTCTCTATTATGCGTGGGAATACTTGGGAACAGATTTCCAAAATTAAAATCACTTAGAGCTGTTTTTCTGGTGTTATTACTGTCTTTTATGTGGATGTGCCGACTCTGGTCTTGGTACTTGCGGTCTAGCCAACAGCTCGCAGATACAGTGTGGGTATTGCCTACTACATTATGAGATTATTTTGGACAAAAGAGCGAAATTATTTTTATTTGTGAAATGGCAGCCATCATCATCATGTCACCAGAATAAGACCCTCGATATTTATTGGAAAGGAGCATCAAGGTCATCACCGTGCAATTTCATCACCCTGTGAAGTTCATCATAACTTATTTCCTAATAAACTGCATGCTTTCCCGAGTCGTAGTGGGAGGACTACACACCATATCATCGCGTGACTCCAAGTTTACTTTGATATGATGGTTATTATGTCAATATTTGCGCATAAGTGTTTCCACCGCCATTTCTCACATTAATTAATTTTACCCAAACAGATCCCACTTTGTCTAGCGTATTTATGTTTTGTCAATATTTGGAAAGTTTACAGACAAATTAGCTGTTTCCATCAGGCCCGTCGTGAAGTTTTTTCTCCGACATGTACTTTACTCACATAAAAAGGTTAGATGGAAACCTGGTTTATGACTCAGAAGAGAAGACATTTTACAATCTGATTTCGATCTTTCTTGCACCAAAAGAGATGCATAGAAATCTGATTGTAAAATGTCTTCTCTTTTGAGTTATAGATTTGACTAACAGCTAGCGAGCTAGCTAAGTTAGCGAACTAGCTCAGTGAAAGCAAGGATATGGAGAATCGTGTCAGAGATATAGCGTAGCACGATGACAAATCAATTATCTAGCTAGTTAATAATCTCTACTATTCTATGTTAGCTACTTACATGGTGATGCACGCTTGCTTTTGGGACTGTCAGTGGCAAGTCAAGTGTTGGAACTGCATCGGGCTTCAGAAGCTTGGCATACCCCATCTTTTTTTGCAGCAGGTTTGCAAAGCACTCTGCAAAATGTGCTCTGCAACGACACTCTTTGTGATCAATTTGGGTGCGTCCTGAGCTTGGGAAACGAATGTAACCCACTTTTCCCATAAGTCTTACTTTTTGGGGAAGAAAAACAACTGTAAATCCGAGTGATTCAACCTCAAGTCAGGCCATTGGATTTTCAGATGCAGCTCAACGGACAGAGCAATAATATAGATTTTTCCGACTTTGGTGATACTAATTACATCTGCTTTAGTAAAAATGTGAATCAAATTCAATATAAATCACAGTTTTCACTGTACAACTCCTTTAAGTAATACTGCAAGACAACATGGCAAATAATTGACATTTCTGGCCTAAATTGAACAGGTTTGAGTCAAATCCAATACAACACATCACAGAGTGAAACCCTCTGTGTTTTCAAGCATTGTGGTGGTAGCATCATGTTATGGGTATGCTAGTCACTGGCAGGAACTGGGGAGTTTGTAAGGGGTGAAAATGAATATGAAAGGAGCAAAGCCCAGGTAAAAGAAAACCTGCCTTAGTCTTCTGAATACATAACCCTGAGATAGAGTTTTATTGTTCAGTGGGATAATTACACAATTTGTTATGCCAAAGACACACCAGAATGGCTTTCCAAGAGGTGTTGAATGTTCCTGGGTGGTCCAGTCTCAGTCCTGACCTGAATCTGCTTAAATAATCAGACACAAGGTTTGTATGTTGCTGTACATCAATGATTCCCAACCAAATTTACTGAGCAATTTTAACAAAAACAATGGATATACTGTATGTTGCTCTAAGAATTGTGCATAGTTGGTATAATATTATTCAAAATGAATCACTGCTGTAATTGCTACCAAAGGTGCTTCCATCAAGTGTTAACTCTGGGGTTAGAAGACATACGCAATAAAGACATCTTCATTTTTTATATTTTATTTATTTAGAACATTAAGAAAACAAATGTGTTTGAATATGTTGTGTAGATCAGTAGGAAAGAAATCTAATTTAGTGTCTTTTTAGATTTAATTTAAAGGCAGCAAAATGTCCAAGGGGTGTGTAGACTTTCACTAGGCACTGTATGTCCGTCCCAAAAGGGTTGTTCAGTAGTGAAGTGTAAGTGCCAATTATGCCCATGTAGTGGCGGTTAAGCTGACAAATTTAACTAAATCGTTCACTTTGTAATAAAAGCACCACATTTGGTAAAGATGTATATTTATGTACAGTGGGGGAAAAAAAGTATTTAGTCAGCCACCAATTGTGCAAGTTCTCCCACTTAAAAAGATAAGAGAGGCCTGTAATTTTCATCATAGGTAAATGTCAACTATGACAGACAAAATGAGAAAAAAAAATCCAGAAAATCACATTGTAAGATTTTTAATGAATTTATTTGCAAATTATAGTGGAAAATAAGTATTTGGTCAATAACAAAAGCTTCTCAATACTTTGTTATATACCCTTTGTTGGCAATGACACAGGTCAAACGTTTTCTGTAAGTCTTCACAAGGTTTTCACACACTGTTGCTGGTATTTTGGCCCATTCCTCCATGCAGATCTCCTCTAGAGCAGTGATGTTTTGGGGCTGTCGCTGGGCAACACAGACTTTCAACTCCCTCCAAAGATTTTCTATGGGGTTGAGATCTGGAGACTGGCTAGGCCACTCCAGGACCTTGAAATGCTTCTTACGAAGCCACTCCTTCGTTGCCCCGGCGGTGTGTTTGGGATCATTGTCATGCTGAAAGACCCAGCCACGTTTCATCTTCAATGCCCTTGCTGATGGAAGGAGGTTTTCA